GTGGATAAAGTGGATAGTGTGGATAAAGTGGATAGTGTGGATAAAGTGGATAGTGTGGATAAAGTGGCTAGTGTGGATAAAGTTGATAGTGTGGATAAAGTGGATAGTGTGGATAAAGTGGCTAGTGTGGATAAAGTGGATAGTGTGGATAAAGTGGGCAGTGTGGATAAAGTGGATAGTGTGGACAAAGTGGATAGTGTGGATAAAGTGGATAGTGTGGATAAAGTGGATAAAGTGGATGGTGTGGACAAAGTGGATAGTGTGGATAAAGTGGATAGTGTGGATAAAGTGGATAGTGTGGATAAAGTGGATAGTGTGGATAAAGTGGATAGTGTGGATAAAGTGGGCAGTGTGGATAAAGTGCCTCAAAGTGGATAAAGCCCCAAGCCCGTTTGTTCTTACCAAAGCTGTAAACACTCTCCAAAGCAATATGCCTTCTCTTTTAACAATCAATTTAAGTGTCGCGAAATACCTGATGACAGGCGGCAAGCAGTAGGTTCACCTATCTCCCTATCTAGGGTGGGAGAAAGGTAACAGATCTGGGCCTATACCTTAAAAAAAGTTAAGAGATAGTAAAGTTCATCAGCCAATAGGTATTGACCAGGGCCTATACCTTAAAAATAAGTTAAGAGATAGTAAGTTCATCAGCCAATCATTGACGGCCTTTCATTGACGTGCTGCGTAGTGTGGTACGTAGTGCACGTAATACCACTCGATTATAAGAAATATTATTTTATTAAATTATATTATACCTCCCTTAGGTGGTGTGGCGGCGGCGGCGGCCTGGTATAACCTGGCCAACCTGCAGCAGATGGAGATGGTGGCCCGCCTGCAGCAGCAAGCGGCGGGTGGCGGTGGCGGGGCCTTCCTGCACCCCCACCACCTGCTGGGCCTCGAGGTGTTACACCAGCAGCAGCAGGGTGCGTCTAGGGTGTTACACCAGCAGCAGCAGGGTGCGTCTAGGGTGTTACACTAGCAGCAGCAGCAGGGTGCGTCTAGGGTGTTACACCAGCAGCAGCAGCAGGGTGCGTCTAGGGTGTTACACCAGCAGCATGGTGCGTCTAGGGTGTTACACCAGCAGCAGCAGCAGGGTGCGTCTAGGGTGTTACACCAGCAGCAGCAGCAGCAGTATCACTTATTTGTATGAGTATACATAATGTGTTATTGTGTGTTTGTATGAACTAACATATTGTGTGTGTGTGCAGCAATGATGGCTGCTCAGCTCGCGCAGCAGCAGCAGCAAAGCAGTTCCAGCAGCAGCAGTAAGCCCAGCAGCAGCAGCGGCCGCAGCAGTAAACACAGCAGCAGGCAGAGCAGCAGCAGCAACTCTGCAGGTAACATTGATTATATATTATTTCTATATTTCTATATATTTCTTTATTAGTTTTATATGGCAGAACTTGTTGGTTTATACGCGTGCGATTAATGACCACACAACCAGACCGGCACTCGCATTGTGCTGAGGGAACCCACCAGCATTGTCTTCAAGCAGTGGCCCGACATCAACCGACCGAAGGTGGCTAGCCTCATCGTTGAACTAGTATAAGGTTGACCCATGGTTGAACTATATAAGGTTGACACATGGTTGCTCTAGTATAAGGTTGACCATGAGAAGCTCATTTTTGCGCATGTAGTTTGTTGTTCGCCCGTGACGTCACTGATCTCAGTGACGTCACATGCGAAAACCAATCACTGAAATGCGATCAAACCAGTCAACCAATCCGTCATGGGGGTGACGGGATTGTTTACGTTTCTCGATCTCAGTGACAGACGGAGTGACGCCCGTCTTGCAACAGACGGAGTGACGCCCGTCTTGCAACAGACGTCTTGCAGTGGCGCAGGACGTCTGTCTTGCAGGAGTGGCGACGGAGTGGTGCATGTCTTGCTACACTAGGCAAGCCTGAGCTGAGCTCAGGACAACCAAAGAGACATCGGAGCGTACGAGTGTTCCCGGCAAGACTATGTCAGGAATCCCTTCGTTGAAGGCAGATACACTTGCATTGGCAGGAAAAATTACGACTCCGCATTCCTTATTAGTTTAAAAGTACAAAAAAATATGAAAATTAAATTTTTGCACCGGAACATACACATTTTATAGGTATTTATTGAATAATAATCCTTTTTTGTTCGCGAAGTTGGCCATTTTTTGCTTGCTCACCGTGTCGGACGAATTTAAACAACACGGACACCGGGTTATTCCCGACCCGGAAGATTCTGATAGTGAGGCATGTGCGGCTGCGTCCGGGGCTGCATTAACTTCAAGAAGACTCAACCCTAACTCGTCAATATTCCCTACTGATCTCCTGGGTGTCATTAGCTCCTTGATCCCCTTAAGACGACCTGACGGTTCATTGGACTTCTTCCCCGACTGTGGAGATTTCTAAGAAGGCACTCGCCAGAAGCATTTTATTTCAATTTTATTTCATTACACAACAAGCTGGACAAGCAGCGCCTTCTCCCTCGTTGCCATGTCCAACCCATTCGTCGACTGCAACGTCCAACATGGCGATCTTCAATGAAGAAGTCCCGAGTCTCGACTACCATCCCCGACTATGTGTGGCAAGAAATGTTCCCTGCTACTTAACTCCTGCTAGGAACCTGAGGGAGATCGCCCGGGTCAACTGCAAAAGAGATAAAGTCAAGCTATATGCTCCAGGAACTCTGGGACCTATCATTGGTCTGGGAAGTACCCGATAGTTTCCATCATAGGGACATTTCATCATTGACGCAATCATTGGAACATTTCATCATTTAATAATTTAACCTAAACTAACATAACCCCCGTCTACTTGTGTTTGCATAATGCACTTAATGCAAAGATGAAATTATGTTATGAATTGCTATAGTGATGAAAAGTCCCACTGATGAACCGCTATGGTGGCACTTTATGAAAACATGAAATTATATGATGAATTGTTATTACGAAGAAAATTCCTAATGATTGACTGCTATAGTGATGAAACGCCTCATAAGATCAGGAGTCCGGCTACCGTCCCGATGACACACACATTAACTTAACGAACAACGGCCGATTTGTAACCCTCGCGCCTCCATGTCCTGACCGCTGAACCGCACGATGAGCACGTTCAGACAACGTCTTTTTTTCTAGTCCATAATTAGAGGAAGAACACACCACTGTAGGCGTACATGATCTGTCTCTTATACACATCTAGATGTGTATAAGAGACAGNGTTACTGGACCACATGTAGCATGTCTCTAAGTTGTTGTGTTGCCCTCAGGCGGCTCCTCCAGAGGCTCCAACGTCGCCAGCAGCGCCCCCAGCAGCAGCCTGGGGTCTTCCCGGGACTTGTTCTACGGGGAGCGCGGCCCCCCCACCAGCAACAGTGGTAACAGGTGAGCCTTATTACCCTCCTGTTGCCCCCCTGTTGCCCCCCCTGTTGCCCCCCGGTTGCCCCCTGTTGACACACTCATGCCCGCAGGGACTACCGCTCCGAGTACGCCGCCCTGGCGCGGGAGTACGCGGCCGTGAGCAGCGCCTCGTCCCCCAGCAGGAGGCAGCAGGAGCTCGAGCTGGGGCGTCTCATGGCCGCTGCTGCTGCTGCAGGTGCTGCAGGCCCCCAGCAGCAGCAGCAGCACGCAGCTGCTGCGAGAGCTGCTGCAGCAGCTGCGTACTTCGGGTGGGTGACCGTTATTCCTGAGGTCGTGGCCGGTATTCCTGAGGTCGTGGCCGTTGTTGCTGAGGCCGTGGTCGTTGTTGTTGTAGTTGCCAGTCATGGTAGTGGTGACTGGCTTGTGGCGTGGTAGGTTGAGGGACCAGTTCGAAAAGTCGCTTAGAAATAAGTCGGGAAGGAAAGTTGCTAAAGTTCGAACTAATGACCAGCGCCTATACTTTCAAAACTCGCTAAGTGAACGTAAATACTTACGCTCTATTTTCTTCTCTATGATTGCTGGATTTTGCTTGAAGGTTGTCAACGATTGGCTCATGAACTTACGATCTCTTAACTTTTTTGAAAGTATAGGCCCAGTTCGAAATTCGTGGCGTGATTCGGGCCGTTCAACTTGAGCACCCTTGTTACCAGGACGAACTGGGCCGGCAATGACCAACTCAAGTCGCACTGGCTGTGCAGAGACCTGTCGTTTTCTCGTTGGCCTGTGCGAATGTTCTGATATCTTGGATGATTTATGCCGGTCTGATCACTGCGTCTGCCTGATTTTTGTTCTAATATCTTGGATGATTTATGCCGGTCTGATCAGACCGGCATAAATCTTTATGCCTGATTTTTGCCTTGAGCGGCGCTTGTGCGACCGTAGGGGCAGGCATGTTCACGAGTGGCTATTTCTGAGAAGGCAACCGCCTGGACCATTTATTGCATTACTCAACAACCTGGATTAGTCAGGTACTCGTTTATTAGCCAGGTCTAGATGACTGCTGAATGATTGGATGGATGACTGATGATTGGACGGAGGGCTGATGATTGGAGGGATGGCTGATGATTGAATGGAGAGCTGATGATTGGACGGATGGCTGATGATTGGACGGAGGGCGGATGATTGGACGGAGGGCGGATGATTGGACGGAGGACGGATGATTGGGCGGAGGGCTGATGATTGGACGGAGGGCGGATGATTGGACGGAGGACGGATGATTGGACGGAGGGCGGATGATTGGACGGAGGGCGGATGATTGGACGGAGGTTACGCGGCCGTGAGCAGCGCCTCGTCCCCCAGCAGGAGGCAGCAGGAGCTCGAGCTGGGGCGTCTCATGGCCGCTGCTGCTGCTGCAGGTGCTGCGGGCCCCCAGCAGCAGCAGCAGCACGCAGCTGCGGCTAGAGCTGCTGCGGCTGCTGCGTACTTCGGGTGGGTGGCCGTTATTCCTGAGGCCGTGGCCGTTATCACTGAGGCCGTGGCCGTTATTCCTGAGGTCGTGGCCGTTATTCCTGAGGCCGTAGCCGTTGTTGTAGTTGCCAGTCCTGGTAGTGGTCACTAGGTTGTCAGGTGTGGTAGGTTGAGGGACCAGTTCGAAAGTCGCTTAGAAGAAGGTCGGTAAGGAAAGTCGCTAAAGTTCGAACTAATGACCAGTTCGAAATTCGTGCCGTGATTCGGGCCGTTCAATTTAAGCATCTTTGCCACCAGGGCGAACTTGGCCGGCAATGATGAACTCAAGTCGCACTGGCGCGGGCAGAACCTAGAGCTCAGTCCTTTTCTCAGACCTCAGTCCTTTTCTCAGACCTCAGTCCTTTTCTCAGACCTCAGTCCTTTTCTCAGACCTCAGACCTTTTCTCGCGGGCATGTGCGAATGTTCTGATATGTTAGATGATTTATGTCGGTCTGATCACTGCGTCTGCCTGATTTTTTGCCTTGGGGCGGCGCTTGTGCGACCGTTGGTGCAGGCATGTTCACGAGTGACTGACCTTGACCTGGTGACCTTATGATGAGTTAAGGACTTCCTAGTCCCCGGTCACGCTGATATTATGTTATCGTTGGACGTGTTCCGTATATTTACCCTCCTTTGGGCACGCTGATGCAAGATGCTGTTGCTTGTCACTTGCTGATGGTAGTTTCCATTACTGGCTCCCTGACTGCGGCGATTTCTGAGAGGGCAACCGCCTGAACCATTTTATTGCAGTACTCGACAAAATGTACAAGCCAGGTTATTGATGGTACGGCCTCGACAACACAGCTATACATGATTGCTGGTTGATTGATTGGATGAATGACCAATGATTGGATTCAGCGGTCATGGGGGGCTGATGATTGGATGGAGGGCGGATGATTGGATGAATGACCTATGATTGGACGGTGTTGTGTTGCAGGGGGGCGGGCCTGGACGGCGGGGGGCGGCTGGCTGTGAGCAGCGCCGCGTCGTCCCTCCCCTACGGCATCGCCCACATCATGGGCGACACCACCACCACCACCGCCCCCAGGTACCATCACCACCATAAGTTAATGGTACCACCAATGGTAGTTAATGGTACCACCAATGGTAGTTAATGGTACAATCAATGGTACACTGTTAGAAAAATTACCGTTAACGGTATTACCTGCGTTTCAGTGGCCGGTCGGCACGTGAAAAGAAACACGTTGTCACCGTTTTTATTCTAATTTAACACTAGAAATCCGTAAAACATCTGATAAAAATGGCGAAACTGTTTATTTTCACGGGGCGACCGGCCACTAGAATGCCAGTGGGACCGTTTTTTCACCGTTTTTCTAACAGTGTAGCTAATGGTTTAAGGCTGGTAGTCAGTGTGCGAGTCCGAAAGCGCGGGACACGCGATAACGTAGTGGAACCATTGTTTTGGGGCCATTCGCCATTCTTTCAAAACCAAAAAAGTGAACGTAAGTACTAAGGGTACGCACACAGTGAAAGCAGGTTTGCCCGCGCGGGCAACCTGCTCCAACCTGCCACAAGAATGAACATAGGATAATAATGTCAGTGTTCACAGTGAAAACCTGTACGAATAGGCCTCTGTATTCTATGGTTTCAGGCGCCAGCCTGAGCGGGTAACCAGCACGCTGGCAACCTGCTTTCACTGTGTGCGTACCCCAACGCTCTATTTTCTTGTCTGTGGTTGCTGGATTTTGCTTGAAAGTCCGTCAATGATTGGCAATGATTGGCCTATGTAATATGATATCTGAGCCAGTACCCATCTTGGGGCTACGGCCGGCTTTCAAGTGTCATATTTGTATATTTGTGAATGTAACTATTTTTGTTACTCTACAGCTATTGTAAATAAATAGCTGAGTAAGCATGACAAAATTTATATCTATATTTCATTTACGAACGGAGTTATAATGACTATACGTAGTGATAGATTCCCATAGGGATCCTTGAGGGCACATAGTTCTCGACGAGAGCCTTAATAGTGAATGTTTTAATGGTGAATGGTTGATAGTTAAATGGTATTATATTTACAGCAAACACGCGCCCAGCAGCAGCACGAGCAGCACCAGCAGCAGCAGCGGTCGCGATGCTGCTGCCTCAGCACTATTGCTGCAGCAACAGCAGCAGCAACAGCTGCTCGTTGCTGCTGCTGCAGCGTCCAACCCTGCAGCACTTGCCTTCCACCACCAGCAGCAGCAGCTGCAGCACCTGCAGCACTTGCAGCAGCTGCACCATCTGCAGCAGCTGCAGAAGTCTGCCTCTCTTACCGGACGACACAAGGCAGAGGTGACTTGGATGATGGATGTTTGTCATCCATTGGATAATAGAGACTTATCATCCATTGGATGATAGATGCTACATGACAGCAGCGTAGGATGACAGCAGCGTAGGATGACAGCAGCATAGGATGACAGCAGCGTAGGATCGTAGGATGACAGCAGCGTAGGATGACAGCAGCGTAGGATGACGGCAGCGTAGGATGACAGCAGCGTAGGATGACAGCAGCGTAGGATGACAGCAGCGTAGGATAATAGCTGCATATGACAATGGCAGTGACCAATATAGCATATAAGTAACCTATAATAAAGTATGCTGATATCATCATATAGAAAACAATAATTTAATGATAGTTTCCACCTCCCCTACAACCATCCCAACCCACGTTTTATTTTTACCCTTATTTTTATCTCATTTCTCTTGCTTAAGTAATTCATAAAACAATGCATTTGCCTTCTTTAACTCAGCCTGATGAGATTACAATAGTTATTGTGACATTCAAGACTTGAACAAGGCTGAGACAATGAGTCATTTCGTGCCAGTTTTCTTCAACTTGGATATTTGTAATGGTTGAAGAAAGTAATAGTTGAATGGCTAAAAGTTTAGGCTGTGGGTGTAACACCCTAACCATTGCGTGAGGCATAGTGTTTTTTGTACACATTTATTTACAAACTTGTTTATGTTGGTATCTTTGAGTTTTTGTGTGAAATTTTGTTCTAATTTTATTTTTGTTTTCTCTCCCTCCCTCCACGTCCAATTCCACTCCAACCACTAAAATTTTCTTGCCGACTTTTTCCCATTTGTGTTTCTCTAAATTTCCTTCAATGTTACCGGTTGTTCTTTCCTTTATGACGTCCATGCTTTATTTCATATTTTCTTCACTCTTTTCATCCTTCTAAATCTAAATCCATACTTGGACATTATTTCGAATGGACATGACGGTGGAGAACCACAGAGATCCGCTCAGAGATCAGTTCAATCAGGAACACCGCCCACCAGCTCCTCCTACTCCACAAGCTCCTCCCACTCCAGTTCCTCCCACTCCACAAGCTCCTCCCACTCCAGTTCCTCCCACTCGACAAGCTCCTCCCTCTCGTCCCGCTCCTCCCACTCCTCATCCATATCCAAAGCTATGCGCAATAAGGAGCTGGAAATCATCCCAATTTCACCCCATGTCAACCACCAGCAAGCCACGTCATCCTCGTCCTCATCCACCTCGTCAAGTACTCCCACCTCGTCCTCTGTCTCCGCCCTGGGGGGCGGGGCCACCAGCTCCCACAACTCATTATTGGGCGGGACTAATGCTCTTGGAGGTGGAGCTAACGTCCTTGGGGGAGGAGCTAACTCCCTCGGAGGAGGAGCCAACTCTCAAATGGGCGGGGCTAACTCCCATGGAGGTGGAGCGTCTAGCGGGGCAGGCGGGGCCTCAAGCGCCGCCTCCATCCAGGCCCTCCTTGGAGGGAGCGGAGGGGCGGGGCCCCTCAGGGACCTGCACGAGTCTCTGTTGTCGGCCCGGCTGGTCCTTGAGGCCTCGGGCCTGGACTCCGATACGGGCGGGGCCCGGGGGAACCCAGGGCGGGACGACGGGCCCCTCAACCTCAGCCTGAAGGCGGGCCTCGCCGCGGCCGCCGCCCAACGAGGTACTGAAAATAAAATATTTTGAAAGCGGAAATAAATGAATTTAATAATTGAAACATGTGAATATTTAATCAATGTATCATTACAGTCTCAACCAAACGAATATCTCGGTAACAGTAATATAGGTATCAATATATAATGTGAAAATATTAAAGATATCAATCTAAATAAAATATATTTTAATGATCTTGATCAATATATCTCGATTAAGTATATATTTCGTTGTTTATAAGTGATATAAACGATTCATTGTTACATGGAGATATACTGTTATACAACAGTATAACAGAAAAAGGTTACAATATTACAGCAACATTACATTACAGCAGTATAACATTACAGCAGTATAACAGCACAACAGTACAACAGTATAACAGTTCAAGTTTACAACATTCCGGCAGTGTAACAGTGTAACTATATAGCAGTATAACAGTATAGCAGTACAGCAGCGCAACAGTATAACAGTATAACACTTTTTAATACGGAAATAAATGAATTTAATATTTAGAATATATGAATATATAATCAAAGTATCACTACAATCTCAATCAAACGAATATCTCGGTAACAGTAATATAGGTATCAATATATAATGTGAAAATATTAAAGATATCAATCTAAATAAAATATATTTTAATGAAATTAATCAGTATATCTCGATAAAGTATATATTTCGTTGTTTATAATTGATATCAACGATTCATTGCTATGACACTACAACAGTACAACAGTATAATAGTACAACAGCCCAACATTACAGCAGTATAACAGCACAGCAGTATAACAGTATAACACCCTCCCCCCAGACAAGCGGTCGCTGGACGCCGCCCTGCGCAGCGCAGGTCTCCTGCAGTCCCTCCAGCAGCGTGACAACCGCGACGTTATCGCCTCCGTACGTTGTCTTATCTTGCGTTATGTTATGTTATGTTATATCACCCTCACGTTGTGTTACGTTATGTTATGTCGTCATTACGTTGCCTTACCATATGTTACGTTATGTTTTACCTTCCTTACGTTATGTTATATCGTCCTTACGTTACGCGATGTGTTAGGTTGCCTCCCCTTATGTTACGTCACCTTGCGTTACGTCGTGTTTGGTTCCGCCACGTTAGATTATGTTATGTTACCCTACGTTAGATAGCTACGTATACGTCGCGTTACGTGATATGTTACGGTAGCGTCACTGTAGCGCTTGGAAGCCATGAAGGCTTCCTTTGGGTACCAACCCAAAGTGAACGACCCTAAACTTTGATACTTGGGAACTTCCCTAAACTACCTCAGCCCTAACAAAATTCGGGGTATGCTTCAGTCTCTGCCCCAGAGTTGCTATGTTCGCGTTAGAGTTATTCTGGGTTATTCTGGCCACCTGATCGCAATCAGCGACTAGTCAGAACCTCCTTGCCGACTTTATGGTCTCCTGAGAGTAGGGCAAGAGTTGGCAGAATCCCCTCAGTCCCCTCACCAGGCTCTGGTAGCTGTCTGATTCGGGGACCGGAATGTAGACCAAAAAGCGGACATAGAGAAGCTGATTTACCTTCGGTCCGAGTCCTAGGCGGTTCCTTATTCAGGGTCGCCACCAACTAAAAATTGTGATAGGGAGGGTACTTCCCTGAAAAAATTCGGGGACCGCCTGGGGTTCGACCGAATAGTTGTTACACTCGGCGCAGAGTCATTATGGGTCTGCTTGGCCGTCCGACCGTAATCAGTTTCTGGCCAGAATCTCCTATCCGACTATATAGTCGCCTGAGAGTATGAGAACCCTAACAAAATTTAGAGTCGCCCCAGCTTCTGGTAATCCAAATCAGAAGCTGACGAGTCGGTAAATTTTCACGGGGAAGAGTGGGCCGAGTCATACCGAGCTAGCCAGCTGCCCAGACGCCGCCCCTCGCACCCTCAGCAGAAGCTGACATGAGAAGCTGATTTGCGTGCTCCCCGAGTCCTGGGCGGCCCTAATGCAGGGTCGCCACCTACTCAAAATTTTGATAGGGTTGTTGCCTGTGGGGAAGTTACGGAATTAAGGTTATGTTACATCTGGTGCTTGAGTGTCACCTGATGCAGCTGATGTGTTGCAGATGCAGGAGGCGCTGCAGCGGCAGCTGTACGCAGCTGATGAGAAGAAGCGCGAGGAAAAGAAGAAGAGGGTGCGTCGAGAAGTAGGCACCTACTTTACTACTTGTAGCTGCTACCTTACTACTTGTAGCAGGCACCCACCTTACTACTTGTAGCAGGCACCTACCTTACTACTTGTAGCAGGCACCTACCTTACTAATAAGCTATAACATAGATCGTATCTTTGTGTTACAATTCATTTTCCAATTAACAAGTTGTATTATATATTATATTATGGAAAGCGCTTACTGGTCCTGAGGCTTACATTATATGTTCCACGTTATAAGTAAATTTTTTTATTGTTAAAAATAACAAAGATATATTATTCATACGTTACAAGTTATAAAATAATGTACAACATTTGTTTTACCCGCTCAGATGGAGGAAGCCCAGGAGCGGTCGAGGGCTCTAGGGCGCGGGTCGTGCAAGCCCAAGAAGAACACGGTGGCCTCCCTGCTGGAGCACTGTAGGGCTGCGGGCATCAAGCCCACTCTGCCCCTGCCGCCCTCTCTCCAGTCCACTCTGTCGGGGGGCGCCAGTGCAGCCCTTGGGGCTCTCGCTGGGTCTCTTTCGACTAGTCCTGGGGCCCTTGGGTCCTTATCAGGTCCCGGGACTGGCGGGGCTCTTGGGTCCTTATCGAGTCCTGGGACCGGCGGGGCCCTTGGCTCCTTATCAAGTCCTGGGTCTGGCAGCGCCCTTGGGACCTTAACAAGTCCTGGGGCTAGTGGTCTAGGGTCACTATCCACTAGTGGACTAGGCGGCCTGACTAGTATAGCGACTAGTTCAGCCGCGGCCGCCCTTGCTAGTTTAGGCAGCTCGCTGTCCCTCTGCTCTAGCGCCTCCGACACCCGACTAGGACACACCACTAGTCCCGCCCTCCCTAGTACTGCTAGTTCATCACACCACCTAGCGGGACTAGCCTCACTAGCTGCTGGAAACTCAACTAATCATCCGCTACCATCAACAATTCATCCACTATCATCGGGTCATCCTCTATCTTCCTTGTCTGTCCTCTCCAGCAGCAGTGACGCCGCAGCCTCTCAGGCACTGCCTGCCTCACTGCATTCACTGCCTCATGGCCTCACTGCCACGCCTCTTGCGCCTCACCACAAGAGTAGCAACAGTAGCAACAACAGCAGCAGGTCACAGACACCTACCACTAGTAGCAGTACCTCTAGTGGCAGTACCACTGCCATTTCTTCGTCTCCTAGTGTACTATCGATAACGGCTTTGGTTGGTAGTAACCATAACACTAAAGGCGCCACCACTACTGGACTATCTACCACATCATCTACCTCTACTACTTCTACCACTACCACTTCATCATCTACCAGCAGTTTACTATCGAACTTCTCCGTGGCTCCTAGTCTCAGCATCACTAGTTTGTGTGACCTAACTACGTCTCCCTTGACTTTACCCACTTCTTTGACCCACTTGCCCACTTCTTTGACCCACTTGCCCACTTCTTTGACCCACTTGCCCACTCCTGGAGCCCACGTTCCCAGTTCTACAGCCCACGGGCCCACTCCAGGAGCCCTCATGCCCAGTTCAGACTCGGACCCGTCCATCGTGCCCACCGCGGCCCACCAGGAGAAAGCGGGCACCCCGAAGGATGTCGAGGTATATATATGGATATTTATTTATTAGTGATGTATATGTATTATTATTATACATATTTATTATTATCATATATTTATAATATATATATATTTTTTTATATATTAAGTCAATTGAATTAATTATATGTTTATTTGAAATTAATAATATTTTTGAAAATGTGTATTTTTTTATTTTTTATTTTATATATTGGTAATATAGAAAATTTGAATAATAAATTAAATAAAGAATTTATTATNCAGGATGTGCTGGCAGGACTCAAGCGTCATCCGATGGTGACATCCACCAGCACCGACGGCCGCCTCCTCACAACCATCCGTCTCACAACCTCAGACTCACCATCCACCGACTCATCCACCACCACCATTACATCAACCACCACCATTACATCCACCAAGGATGCATCCATTGATGCATCCAACCTCGCAATGTTAATGTCCACGGCAGCAGCCAGCAGCAACAACATCCACCATAAACTGTCGTCATCCATCATGGATAACAGCGACAGTGAAGACAGTGACTTGTCATCCATGGATGATGATGGACAGGCAGGAGCCATCATGCCTCATCCGTGGATTACGGAGAGAAATGCTGATAACACTAATTGTGAGTTGGATGATGGCACATTTAGCATCAATTAACACCATCTTTAAAGNGTTCTTGTGAGGTGGATGAAGGTTCTTGTGAGGTGGATGAAGGTTCTTGTGAGGTGGATGAAGGTTTTTGTGAGGTGGATGAAGGTTCTTGTGAGGTGGATGATGGTTCTTGTGAGTTGGATGATGGTTCTTGTGAGTTGGATGATGGTTCTTGTGAGGTGGATGATGGTTCTTGTGAGGTGGATGAAGGCAAATTTGGCATCAATTAACACCATCTTTAAATTACCTAACATTATATAACAGCACCACCCGCCAAACCAGGCTGCAAGATGCTTACAAAGGAGCATTATTGCTGCAGTATTTAGCAACAAATTAACATTATTACCCATTCACTATCATAACATACATTAATATTAGGTAAATAACAATAATTAACGATTAATAGATAAATTACCACCCGACAGCACCCCCCGCCAAGCGGCGGCGCAAGATGGTGACGGACGAGTCTCAGCTGCGGGTGCCCCTGACGCTGGGGTGGCGGCGGGAGACGAGCATTCGCTGCATCAGCAACAGCGGCGTCAGGGGCGAGGTCGTCTACTACGCTCCTTGTGGCAAGACCGTGCGTCAGTACCCAGACATCATCAGGGTACGTTGTAAGACCGTGCGTCAGTACCCCGACATCATCAGGGTACGTTGTAAGACCGTGCGGCAGTACCCAGACATCATCAGGGTACGTTGTAAGACCGTGCGACCCAGACATCATCAGGGTACGTTGTAAGACCGTGCGTCAGTACCCAGACATCATCAGGGTACGTTGTAAGACCGTGCGTCAGTACCCAGACATCATCAGGGTACGTTGTATAATATAATAATGTACTAAAATATAGTATAATATGCTAATATACCAAATGCCCGCACTCTGAACGGGGTTCAAAGCTGGCTGTATTACATCAGGTTTGGAATGCTGCTCCGATATCATTAGGGTACGTTCTTTGATATAATAATATATATAGCCTACGCACTGTGCCCACTGTGAACGGGGTACAAAGCTGGCTGCAATACTCCAGAATGGGAATGCTGTTCTGCTCTGACATCATTAGGGTACATTGTGGGGTCTACTGCGCCCCCTGTGGCAAGACCGTGCGCCAGTACCCGTACATCATCAGGGTACGTTGTATAATATATTATTATATGGCCTACGCATTGTGCCCACTGTAAATGGGCTCCAAAGCTGGCTGCAGTACTCCAGAATGTGAATGCTACCACCGCTACCACTAACCTCCCCACCCCCCCTACAGTACCTGGAGCGGAACAACATCACTGAGGTGACGCGGGACCACTTCAGCTTCAGCAGCAAGCTGGTGGTGGGGGAGTACCACGAC